GTTTGGGGGGGTCTGTGGGGCACAGAGAGGGATTTTGGGGGGTCTGTGGGGCACAGGGAAGGGTTTTGGGGGGGTCTCTTCGGGGTCTGTGGGGCACAGGGAGGGTTTTGGGGGGTCTGTGGGGCACAGGGAGGGATTTTGGGGGGTCGGGGAGGCCTGTGGGGGTCCCGAGCCCCCCATGTGCCCCCCCCAGGTGTTCCGGTACCTGCGGACGCTGCTGCCCGAGAGCGGCTTCAGCATCCAGCGCTGCACGCGCTACAGCCGCGACGCCAACGGCGCCAGGGTGGTGGCCACGCGCACCTGGTGAGCCTGGGGGGTCCAAAATCCTGAAAAACCACCCCAAAAACCACCCTGAGATCCATAAAAACACCAAACACCGCAAAAAACCACCCTGAAACCCCCCAAAACCAGCCCAAAGCGCTGCACGCGCTACAGCCGTGGCACCAACGGCGCCAGGGTGGTGGCCACGCGCACCTGGTGAGCCTGGGGGGCCCAAAAACCCAAAAAAACATCCTAAAATCCCCAAAAACCATCCTAAAATCCCCAAAATCTGTGTTTTTTGGCTGGGCAGGCACGAGCACAAGACGCTGGAGCTGCTGGGGGGCTGCGGCGTGGAGCTGCTGCTTGACTCTAATCCTGTTATCTCTGAAATCTACCTTTTATAGCTTCTGCAAACACTCTAAACTTTAAAAATATCCACAAAAACTTGGGTTTTTTATCCGTTTTTGGCTCTCCAGGCACAAGCACGAGATGCTGGAGCTGCTGGGCGGCTGCGGCGTGGAGCTGCGGGGCTCGGACCGGGCGCTGCTGCGGGCGGGCGACAACGACTTCAGCCTCATGTACTCCACCCGCCGCAGGAGAACCCAGCTCTGGCTGGGGCCCGCCGCCTTCATCAACCACGGTGGGACCCCAAAATCCGGCCAGAACCCCAAAAAACCTGTCCCGGGACCCCCCGCACCCCGGAGCGGCCCCGAGCGCCCTCAGGACCCACCTGGGCCTGGAGCGGCGCTGATGGTGCTGTTGTTGTCCTCAGATTGTCGGCCAAACTGCAGGGTGAGCCTGCGCAGGGTTTTGGGGGGGTTTTGGTGGGGTTTGGGGTCGGAAAATTTGGGTTTGGGGTGGGGGGTGTGAGGGAAGGTGGTGGGGAATGTGAGGGGAAAATGGCGGGAGGGGTGAGGGGAGGAAATGTGAGGGGAAAATGTAAGGGGGAAAGTGGGGAAATGTGAGGGGAAAATGGAGGGAAATGTGGGGGGAAAGGGAGGGAAATGTGAGGGGAAAATGGCGGGAGGTGTGAGGGGAGAAAAGGGCGGGAAACGTGAGGGGGAAATGGAGGGAAACATGAGGGGGAAATGTAAGGGGGAAAGCGGGGAAACGTGAGGGGAAAATGGAGGGGAACGTGAGGGGAAATGGAGGGAAACGTGAGGGGAAAGGGAGGGAAATGTGAGGGGGAAAGGGAGAGAAATGTGAGGGGAAAATGGCGGGAGGTGTGAGGGGAGAAAAGGGCGGGAAACATGAGGGGGAAATGGAGGGAAATATGAGGGGAAAATGTAAGGGGGAAAGCGGGGAAACGTGAGGGGAAAGTGGAGGGAAATGTGAGGGGAAATGGAGGGAAATGTGAGAGGAAAATGGGGAAATATGAGGGGAGAAAAGAGTGGGAAATGCGAGGGGAAAATGTACGGGGGAAAGCGGGGAAATGTGAGGGGAAAATGGAGGGAAACGTGAGGGGGAAATGGAGGGAAGTGTGAGGGGAAAATGGGGAAATGTGAGGGGAGAAAAGAGTGGGAAATGTTGAGGAGAAAATGGAGAGAAATGTGAGGGGAAAACGGAGAGAAATGTGAGGGGAAAATGGCGGGAGGTGTGAGAGGAGAAAAGGGCGGGAAACGTGAGGGGAAAATGGAGGGAAACGTGAGGGGGAAAGAGAGAGAAATGTGAGGAAAATGGTGGGAAACACGAGGGGAGAAAAGGAGGGGAATGTGAGGGGAGAAAAGGGCAGAAATGTGAGGGGAAAATGTAAGGGGGAAAGTGGG